GACAACCTATGTAGCCTTTAACAATAGAGTGGTATCTGTACAATATACCAATAGAAAGAAGAAGATGTGGTATGAGTTTCGATGAGACATCTCTCCATCCAAGTCACAATGTGTAAAAAGAAAACCTTTATAGGTCAAAGTACGGCCTTCTACACGGAGCCTTATCCATTAAGGTCTTATTCGTTCCGAGTGACTTTTTATTCGAATGACTTTGTTTTAAAGACTGATATAACCTGTATTTGGATAGGGTTCTGGGCCTCAATGTCTGCTTTTTTGTAATACATTTTATTACCTTTGTATTCACTTATTGCTCGATAAGACGAGGCGTATATGATTGTTTGAACTTGAAATATGTGCATACAAGATTTAGTATATTGATGTTTGGTTAACGAACAGTTGCAAATACTTCATGCATATTCAGGACGAGAGCAAATTAACAGCAAGTCTAATAGATATGAAATATTACCTGAATGAAGGGTGGGAATTTCGACCGCCACTGGAAGGTATAATGGTTAAAGAATTTTGCCTTGAAGAAGGCCTTCTAGAATAAATGTTGCAAGGATTGGACTTCTTTAACGTGACATTTTTCCTACACAGGACGTTGGATTTAACATTGCAACCCCGAAAAGACGTGGCTGAGTATTGATACACTAAATAAAGCCAAATAGATGACACTTGCAAGGGAGTTGGGACTCTCAGACAGAGAAACTGTGACCATATTTTCATATGTTTTGGTACATTCGGGGTATTAAATTTGCTTAATCGATTAAGAGGAAAGACAATTTATATGCTACCTCTTGGTTGTCCTCTTTTAACATCTATTTAAGCAATCCCTCAACCAATGAATGTTATCGTCTATTTAGTTTGCTGTTTCTAAGTTTACCAAGATGCTTTCACAAATTGTAAGATAAATTTTGAATTTCCAACCACAAGTCGCAGGACATTGATCAATCTTTTGATCAGAAATGGTTCTATGAAGAACGGAAGTAATAATCCTTAATATGTGACTGAGGTCTAACAGGGCGCATATAATTGTCTTGAGTGCTTGACCAAACTCTCCGGACCACTTCGAATTAGAACGACTATGTTACGAGCGTATACGACTGCATTAATACATTGATAGGAATTTCCAGATCATTTAGAATACTTCGTAACGCTGTTTGATTTTAAACGTTAGCCATTATCGGCACTGTGTAAACGCCGCATTGATGAAGGATAATATGAAAGAATTCTAGAAAAGTGGTCTTACAGAAATGAAAAAAATATGATCAAATATAAAATAAATGGGGAATGATGATGCCCCCGCTTGTATATCATATAAAGTTATAAAGGGATATAACTAAAGAATGGTTAAAGTGATGCTACCCAAATTTTGTACCAAATTTGTACTTGATCTGAGTTCTGCGATAATAAGTAATGTGCATAAGTTTCATAACATTTGGTTGAGGTAAACTTAAGTTAGAGAACGGAAACGAAAAATCTAGCCTTTTTTTTTCATTTGTAAAGGGGTATAACTCTAGAACGATAAAAGAGACGCAAATAAACTTCAAACTTGATCTGTCTTTTGTGGTAATTATAATCATTGTGTATAAGTTTCATAACATTTGGTTGAGGCAAACTAAAGTTAGAGCACGATATTTTGGGACGTACGGACGTACAGACGGACGGAAGTATAGACGGATAAGGTTAAAACTTAACGACGGGGGCATAAAAAAACATATTATGTTTTTCACATTCGTCTTTAAAAGGTAATTTTGTTCACAAAGGAAAGTATTAAAACAGACCTTATCATATCAAACAAAGTGCATTTTATTCACATTATTTGTTCGCAGCATTGATAGAGAACCTTTCAAAAGATTTATTCTTAAAGCGTATCAACTTAAAACAGTAGAAATATCGTTGAAATTTGCTTTATCGGTACTTCTTCGACTTCGAGGTATGTATATACTGTTGCGTATTTTTCTTACTTTGTTTTTGTGAGCTGATTTTTGTGCTTCGTTTCGGTCTGCACGATTCGAGCTTTTTCTATCTGATTATTTTACAGTTTGTTTTTATGTTGAACTGTAACACCACAATCCCAGGTTTGAGTGCTCGCGAACATGTTTAAACCCGCCACATTCCAAATGTTCATGCGTATCCCAAGTCCTTTAAATCAGTAGTTGTCGTGGTTGCTGTCCGTTATATATTTGTTTTCATTTATTGTTAAATCGCATATCATGGCGTTTTAAAATTTTTTTCCTATGTTTACATTTGGCCATTAGATATAAGAATATGTTGTATGAGTGCCAATGAGACAACTCTCCATCCAAGTCGAAATTTGTAAAAGTAAACCATTATAGGCCAATGTACGGTCTTCAACACGGAGCCTTGGATCACACATAACCGGCACTTTTATATGATTACGGTATGGGTTTTGCTCATCATTGAAGGTCGCTCATTGACCTATAGTTGCTGATGTCCAGTTTATTTGGTCTCTATTTTGGTAGTGTATCGTTGACAATCATATCACATCTTATTTCTATAAAGTTCTGACTTATATATATATATAATAGTAAACCATTATAGGTCAATGTACGGTCTTCAACACGGAGCCTTGGCTCACACATAACCGGCACTTTTATATGTTTATATATATAAGATATCAATGGCAGTCAGCAGGGTTTAAGCACATCCGTTGTTCGACCTGCTAGTCTAATGCGTTTTGTTAAAATATACTTTTTGACTTTTTTGGTCTTTTGGAAAATGTTGTTTGTGCTGTATTTAGACCTCTCTACCAAGAAATTTGTTTTGCATGCACACGTATAAAAATTGCGGCTTTTATCCAACGCAGTCATAGGTATGAACGTTGTTTTCAATTTAGACTTATTTATATAAAATGACTGAATAATAGACAACGATAATCTAACGGAGCGATGGATCATAAAATTATGATACAGTACACTACACAATATAATATATAACAAGTCTAAAAGGGTACAACATCACCAAAAAATAATTAAATCATGAACAAATTTTAAATATTTCGGATAACTAATATCCTTCATCAGTAAGATGTAAAATGAATCTTATCTTGACATGTGGTAGTCAAACTGAAATAAAAATCTTGAATGCTATACAAATTATCAATAACCAATACGCTGGTAATTTTTTTCAATGGAGGAGGAATAAGCTTTCTTATCCAAAACTTTTCCCGGGCAAGTCTGTCGGCCCTTGACCAACCCTCGTTGTGGTCTATGATAGTGATGGTAAGGTTTTTGAGATCAGCTTTTGCGTGCCAAGGTGATCTCAAATGACGACTCACGGGGAGGTCGGGCTTGCAGGTGTAGTCACTTCGATGACCATTCATGCGTTTGCTAGATGGCTGTTCTGTCTAGCCAACATACTGCATGCCACATCGACTCTGAAGAAGGTATACAACATTCTGGGTTTTGCAAGTTAAATTGCAAAATATAGTGCACACAGACCCGGTTGAATGGCAAGTAAATGTTTGGCAGTCAGCAGGGTTTAAGAACGTCCGTTGTTCGACCTGTTAGTCAGATGCGTTTTGTTTAAATATACTTTATCACATTTTGGGTCTTAATTTTGACATTTTGAATATGTAATATTGAATATGTAATACGGAAAATGTGACAAACTGAAAGGACTCTTGCACTTTTCCCTTAATCTTTTTTGTTGTCGTTATAGAATTTTCAATACAAAAGAACTGATAGAATTTTTTATTGGCAATTTCAAACCATGATTAAAAAGAAAAATGAAACCCCCTTGGTACCTTTCTTTGACGATCTCATTCAAACTTTGACAAGCGAGTAAATTTTACAAATGTCAAAGTTGCCGTTTTGCATATTCCCGTTAAATGCATGTGCTGTTATAAACAAGCAGGTCAATGTTGGCCGCATCGTGCATTCTTATTACAAATAAAATGCACCTTGCTCATTGTATGGAGTTGTCGATATGGACGGGTATAAGACGGACGACATTTTGAGCCAGAGTTTGGATTTGGCAGAAGAGACTGAAAATAACGCAATATTTATATTCCAAAGTACTAAGTTCAACTTGTATCAGTTTCATCAAGGTAATCATAAATTTTGCCCTACTTCGAACTATACATGTTCAATGTTTTACTTTTACAAATTGTGACTTGGATTGAGAGTTGTCTCATTGGCACTCATACCACATCTTCTTATGTCTATCTACATGCTATGGTTTTATCGTAAAAGCACCCCCTTCTCAAAATTAAACAAACATTCATATTTGAACATACTGAGAGTCTGGAAAAGAAACCCGACGACCGGACACGCTTAACAAACAAAATTACATATATCATATACAGGAACCCCATTTTTAGGGCCATGCAAGGGGTATGGTGGTTGAAACCCCCGTTTTTGAACTATCATTACTTTTTGAATGGGGACAAATGGTTGGAACCACTCGTTTATTCTGGGTTGACACCCCTTTTAAAAATGGCTGCATCCGCCCCGGGGTTCCATCATTTGTCTTCAACAATCCAAACATTAATATCTGTTTAATGATTAAGACTTAGTCCAAATGAATACTATAATATATTAATGTTTTATGTTCTTTAAGTATTTGCCATATGGGATTAAAATTTTAGCTTCAAGCAATGGAGTATTTAAAATGATTTATTTTTATTAAAATTTCAAAATAGATGCTAAATATTTTTTCGCTATTGGAATTTCCTGAAATATATTGTTTTTAAATATGTCTTGAAACAACTTGTAGTGAACACTATGTGTAATCTCTTCTGTTCGTGCTATAAAAACCCAATTTCTATTGTTATGAATAACGATGGGCTGTGTTTTCGGGATGTAGAAGCAGGGGTTTCGAAGAAACCTGGTCGTCACACCCTGTGGTCAAAATCCATTGTTATTCGTAACAACAGATCTATACAATTTAGACGTGTTTCAGAAATAGAAAATATGAAGTATAACAAAAGAACTGGAGTGTAAGTGAAAAGAATAGCTATTATTGATGTTGTTTATTTCAATATCAAAGGGAGTTTTCCATGGCATCAATACAAGAGTTGTCAACAAGAACGTATTATCACAAATGATAAGCCACGTTCTTAAGTTGCTTTATTTAATTTGTGCGTTGTCCATCCAACGCGATTACACGTACGTGCTGAGGATTTGCTCAGGGCGGTTAATTCATCATGTGACATTGTAACGTATGCTGCAGATGTGTTATCTACCATAGTAATAAGTTTCGTCTGAAATTGAAAGAAAAATTGTATACAGATACTGTTTAGCAGATTTTAATTACATGAGATTTATTTAATAATGCAGCATCAGTTAAAATAATACAATATAAAGGAATTTCTAATATTAACTTTTAGAGTAAAAATCAGTTTAAAAAATACTGTTACAAAATTTAAATCGACATATATATGTATATAAAACAAAAACTCATGTCAAAATAAATTTTCAAGTATGTGTTATCGATATTGACACAGTTTTAAAAAAAATATTTGAAATATTTCATTTGTAAATGAAAGCGTGAGACACTGTTATTTTCTGTTTAAAAGCGTCCTTCTTACAACATTCAACGTCCTTTAGTTGAACATCACGCTGAATCCGTTGCTATCGTACTATCACAAGCTCAAACTTATACAAGAAACAAATAGAAATCCTTCAGTTTTTCATAAATACGTTTAATTTGTACATATAAAATCTGAATTTGCAACTATCGAATATGCGACTGATTTATATAAGGTTTATGGTTTTGTATTACGGATTAAACGCAAGCTGGGACGTACAAGTCGTTTGCTGGTTCAGAATCTAAAGCATTCTGGTTAATATTTTCAAACAATTCAGCGGACATGACTTTTACATTTGGATACAAACAACGAAATTATATTTTTAAGCAGCGAATTTGTTATCTGTCTCAAAGGCGTACGTCTACTATACATGTTTGGTCACATTAACAAAATTGTAATCAGAAGGTAAACATATAAATACATTTCTAATAGTTGACAGACATGCTGGACTGAACACTGAGCTTTTAGAACAAATTATTCCCTAAGATTTGATTTTTTAAGGTCACACACTTTAGTTAAGTTGGTTAATCAAGAGTTAGATCAAACTAACAACTATTCAAGGGAAGTCAGAGAAAATAAGTAATTTACAATGATCATACCTCAAGTTGATGGAGACCATGGGAAGTGTGAACATCAACTGACTCTGTATCTGACATTCTGTATACATAACATTTATGATGTGTTATTGCAACCATTACATGCTGTATAATATAAATCAAAACATATATACACAAAATAACAACTACGAAAATCAGAACATATACATGTTAACAAAATACCAACTACGAAAATCAGAACATATTCATGTAAACAAAATAACAACTATGAAAATCAGAACATATACATGTTAACAAAAAAAAGAAACAACTACGGAAGCGTACTTGATACATCATTTGCAAATATCGAACATTAGTTTCTCGTCAGCGGTGCTCAAATCAAAAATCTGAAAATAGCAAATTATCACACTTGTACACTTGAACAGCGCCACGTTAGACCTAAACAACACGTCTGTGAAACAGATATTCCTTGTTTTCACTTTTTAACATTATTTTCTAACAGTATAGGGAAACTGTAATTTTTAGATGATTGTGATGGATGGCTGTTTAACGTCTAGCGGCAAATTAAATGCATATTCAGGATGGGAACATGTTATATGAAAATAAACCCTGCTTTGTTCACATGGTAAGAGTCCGCAGGAAAACATGTCATCTAACCCGAACACATTATTGTGCATGAATCCGAGTAGATCAGTCTTTGCTCTGACTCCTTAATATCGCGTGCTTAGAGGAGAAATAGCAGATACCATAAAAAAAGTCTTTGGTCTAACCAGGTCGAGATTCGAACACAAGACCTCCCACACTCGAGGCGAGCACGGAACTACGAGACCAACGAGGCTGCTACTTTTGAACAATATAAACTATACCTAATATTGAACAGTTTGTTTAAGTTTCATCTTTCATTTGCTGGCAGGGTTTTGACTACCTCAGCTAAAGAAAACCACCAAGAAATCATAATTTTAAGGACATTTGAGCTTTAGTCATATGTATATACTATATGATCATTCATTATTTGGTCCAAAATTTGTGACTTCCTTTGAATTCTAAGGGTGCTTTTACTTTTGCTTAGATGCTATTTTTTTTACTTGACGCAAAAGAAATTAAAATAAGAAAACATTAACATACAAACCGACATACCAGACATCCATACTTATAATAGGTGATAACTTGCAATTGATTTAACAGTCTTTTAATACATGAAAAGAACATGGAACTAGTATCAGTATTCTTATTGAAAAAAGTAAAATAACAAAAATACTGATTTCCAAGGAAAATTCAAAATTTAAAGTTCTTTATCAAATGGCAAAATCAAAAGCTCAAACACATCAAACGAATGGACAATAACTATCATACTCTTGACTTGGTACAGGCATTTCCTTATTTAGAAAATGGTGGATTAAACCTAGTTTTTGTAGCTAGCGAAACTTCTAACTTGTATGAGAATCGCATAGAAATCAACAATGTTTGAGCATAACAAACCGACATAGTACATTGTACTTGTAGACATTGTTCAAATTATAAGTGAATTTTAGCCAAATTTTAATTTGTACTGTCAACGTATATTTGTTCCGCCTTACAGAAGTTCCCTATAAACTTTGTTATAAACAATGTCATAAAATCTGTTCCTGATGGAATAAATATTCTATATTCTTTATTCCGTAAGGAACAACTGATGATTTACTATTTAAAACTAAAACCTTTAATGATTTACTTTTACAAATTGTGACTTGGATGGAGAGATGTCTCATTCGCACTCATACCACATCTTCTGATATCTAAATACTGTAATATTTGCCGAATGGAAATACTATTACAGAATATTTCTTCTTTTTGGAACTTATATTATAAAGGAACTTCTATTTCGTGACAGTACAAGCACTGTTTGTACATTGTACAAAGAAAAAATACAAATCATAATTTGTTTAATATGTTTGTATATGTAATAGGTAAACATGTCAACTATCGTGGTATATCTATTTCAATTGATATTTTATAGTTTCTTTCTATGTTGTGATGCTAGTCTATTGTTTCAGATTAGTATGAGGGTTGGGGCATATTAAAACGTTTAAACCCGCTGCATTTGTTTGCACCTGTCCTATGTCAGGAACTTGTTGTTCAGTGGTTGTTTTTTTTGTTGATGTGGCTTATAAGTGTTTGTCGTTTCTCGTTTTTTATATAGATTAGACCGTTGGTTTTCATGTTTGAATGGTTTAACACTAGTTATTTTTGGGGCCCTTTATAGCTTGCTGTTCGGTGTGAGCCATGGATCCGTGTTGAAGGCCGTACATTGACCTTTGATGGTTTACTTTTACAAATTGTGACTAGGATGGAGAGTTGTCTCATTTGCACTCATACCACATTGCTTGGTATTTATGCATCCCACCATTGTATTATTGTGCTATGGTCATTTTTGAATTCTTGTCTTTCATTTTCGATCATGTACTTGGTCTATAGTGTGTCTATATGGGTCAATATCCCTAATGCGCCTCCAGATGAGGAAAACAAAAGTTGTGTGTAAACACAAAAAGTCTCTGTGTAGTAATATTGGACATGTTTCCTTTTTTAACAAGTGACTGAGCTTAACCATTTGTGATGATTTAAAAAATGGAGGACCAAAGAATAAATGTGTAAAAACTATGGAGTTGTTAAATGTATTCAAAGTATTAAATTTTCAAAGAACTTATTGTGTGAAAAAAGGGATTTTTTACCACAAGGAGACGCATCACGAAAGGATTTTCGGGGTATGCTAATTTACGGAAAAATTAATCTCACTTCGTACCCCGAAAATTTAACCACATATGTAAAAATGTCTCAGCTTCGAAACCAGCCATCATACATATCCAAGTTTACGATATGGACTGAGCTACAGAAGAAAACGTTACTATTACCCCCAATGGAAAATCTGTTGCGCATATTGCTCCATACGACTTTTTATTTTCTATGTTAAAATAGTTATTTGTTTTTATTGTGATTAAGATTATAACACAATGTTGACTGGTATATAGAGATATAGGAAGATGTGGTATGTGATACTTCAAGTTGACATTTGATCTGTGCTTAGTGTCTTTTTGTTGGTGGGATTTACAAGTACCCGGCCACATAAGCTCTGTGTTTTTGGTAGATATATTTCTACTTGTATCCATCTGATGAGTTGAGCTTTTTCAACTGATTTTATAGTTTGTTCTTTGTTGTACTGTTACACCACTGTCTCAGGTTAGGGGGAGGGTTGGGCTCCCGCTGACATGTTTAACCCCGCCATACTACGTCTTCTTTTTTACATTTCACAACTTTGCAAAATTATTCTGATGAATATATATATTTGAGGTATTAGTTACTAAGACAACAACCCCTAAAAAAGACAAAATAAAGAGACATCTTAATTCCAACGTAAGTCTTCAACAAAAAGATAGTTGTAAGACATTTTGAAATCCGTTGCCGAGATCAGCTTTGATTTCAACAAACTATATAATATTGTCAACCTATGCTTACAGAACTTGGATCGTATCTGAAAATAAAGTTTTCTATTTCTGCAATTTCATGTACTGGAGGATATCTAGTGGTGTTACATGTAGGTGTCATTGTTGCTGCAAGAAGTGACTAAAAAATATACATAAACACTATCAATGATTATTTTAATTATCCGGATGTATTCGTTAATAAATATATATATAAAGTGCTGAATGTTCTTGATAACTCACGAGTAATACATATATCATAGGATTCAAGTAAAACGTCTTTCCCCTAGAGCACCACACAAAGAAAAATATCACTTCTATCTTATATTGGTCTCTATTCCCATGTTAATAATTGTATATAGATTTTACATGCTGTGTTACATATTTACTTTTCCTTAATTTGTAAACATTAGTTATGCCGTTAGTTTTCTCGTTTGAATTGATTTACATTTTTCATTTCGGGTCCTTTTAAAGCAGACTATGCGGTATGGCTTTAGTCATTGTTGAAGGCCGTACGGTGACCTATAGTTGTTAATTTCTGTGTCATTTGCTGTCTTGAGAAGAGTTGTCTCATTGACTATCATACCACATCTTCTTTGTATACCTAATCTGCATAAATTAGCACAAGATACTTTCGTACTCATATATCTTTATCCGTGAAGACATTCACCAATTTTGTGTGCATGAAGCTCATTGTTATTTAAAAAAATGATGCAACATTTCAAATTCATTTCATTAGAAAACATGTCATCATACCAGGCTACACTAACCTGATTCCCAACTTAACAGCCTACGCTTTTCCAAATATATTAAAACTTACAGTACATGTAAAAGTTAAAAAAATAAAGACAGCATGACTACGACAAGATATTGTTTTTTACTACCAAGGTATTGAAACAAATAACGAATCTTTACCGTCAAAGCTGATCCACAAAGGCAATGATATTTAGGGTTTTCACTTGCCTGCAAAAATAATAAACATTGATTATTTGCACACTAACTTCTTTCTTTTTGTCCTGAAATATCTCGAAATCGTTATTTTGTTTTGATTATCATTATTTTTCATGATTTGAACTAAATAAGCAACAACTTATTCCCCACAGGATATTTCCCACAACGACTGTTGAGTTATTCTTTATGAGATGTCATTTTGTTGCATTGGATTCATATAACAGTAATTATTGATATGATAATACGTAAACTATGAATTGTATCGTGAAAATTGACAAAAAACACGTTTGTGAAAATATGGTTTATGTTCGAGCAAACTATGTTCAAAATGACAAAAAACACGTTTTTTTTTTATAAGAAGGCATTAAATCAAAGCTATAAAAGACATAAAGACAAAAAGATAAATGACTTACTTGAATATTAAGTATAACAGTTGTATTGGTACTTAAAGAGGGACTGCCAAAATCTTTCGCCCTGATATATAATTCGATTATCGTTTTATTAAGTTTTTCATAATCCAGAGATTCTTTCAAAGATATTTTCCCTAAAAACTCTTCATTTTGCCATGTTGTGGTGATTGTGAAATTATTTTGCATGTTGAACGGTGAGTCAATCAAAGCAAATTCTACTCGACTGTTTGTTGTATTCCTTTGGTCTCGGTCAAATGCCTGAAAGATGAATAATAGTATCATTATTCATTCGTTGTCAAACATCGATTACAGAAAAACCATTCAAGCGAATATGCAGACGTGAAAGAAAAAGCAAACCACAGAAATAACAAATAAAGGATATACAAAACAATTATCAGAAATCAATACATTAAAACAGCCAATAAGTCTAATTGAGAACCGCAACAACGGTGACCTATAGTTGTTAATTTCTGTGTTATTTGGTCGTCTCTTGTGGATAGACTAGTTGTCTCATTGTTAATCATACCACATCTTCTTTCTTATAAGAGCAAACCCTGTGGTGTGATAAAACAAATAAAGTTTCAATTTTCTATTTTCTTGCAAATTTTAAACAGTTTAAATATTTGAATATCATAAAAAAATTTGCAACACACAAAACTGTTCTTACGAATACGAGCTCACATACCGTAACAATTCATCATAAGGAGAATAGCGTAAAGTGATTAGACTGCACAGAGTTTTCGTTGTATGTAGTCTAATGAAAAGTATAGACCCAAGTCAAACCATAAAAACAAATAAGTACATGTAATATATTTTTACGATTTCCGCCCCGAATAATGGATCCCATTTCAATTGGTTATCAAACTCGTCAATGGATATCCAATTGAAATCTTTTAATCACATTGCAAGAGGACTGGATAAAAAAATGATCCCGGCAATATATTTATAAAGAGATATATTTATAATATGGTCCTTTTTTCCGAATTGGTCTCATATTTCGATTTTTGTTATCATCTAAAAAGCTCATCAAAACCTTTAAGAATGAAACTTTCATGGAAATTTGAAAGAGATCTGATTTAGACTAAAGCCTATATCCCGTAGGCAAAAATCGATTTGGGATATTTTTACAACCCCCTGCCACAATGGTTCCCAATATTCGTGGTTTTGATTAGTGAAAACTTTCATTTAAATGTCCAAATAAAGGGCCTTACCTGAAAAAAAAACAAAAAGTATGACGGACGGAATGAAATGCGAATCAATAAACGAGTTGACCACATTATGTCTTCACAAACTTCGTCGCGTCATGTATAATAAGTGTTCTTAACATATACATACACTAACAGTTATCTTGAAGTTTTTGTCAGTTTCTTTTATAACGCCATTGTAAAAGGACTGTAAAAATACTGGCGGATTGTCATTGATATCATCGAGTCTTACAACAACTTCAGCTGATTGGAGGTTGCCGCCGCCGTCTATCGCCAACAGTACCAACACATATTCGTCAATTTTCTCATAATCCAATATGACATTTTCTCGTTTTGTTAAGACACCAGTATGGTTGTTAACTTTAAATCTACAATAAATGATTATTTCAAAAAGACATTTTATTGTAGGGGATCATATGGAATAAAGTTATGAAATTATATTTTAGATATAAAGTATAACATTGATAATAAACATAACATTATAGATCATTATATCTTAGAGATGCATGTACAATTTAAGATCCTCTTAGTCTGATTGAACGATTTATTAGAAAACACTCAGACACATTTAAACGTGTAACATGAGGTCAAATATATAATACAGTATATGTAAATAACATGACAGAAGAACAATTAAACATATTAAAGTCAATACACATAGCTCATTAGCATCAAACAGTGTGAATGATTATGCAGAAAGATATACAACACATATGGATCGAAATGACATATATCAAAGAAATACATTAACTTTTCTGATGAACAAGGATAGCTTTTTGTATAGTTCAGTATTACAATAAGACAGTAAACCTTCAAACTTGATAATGGTAAGCTGTGTAGTACATAGGTATGTATTTGTTTCTTAATGACACAATATTTTCATTTTTACATATAAACAAAATATGGAATTCATCTCCAATACCATTTGTACATAAGTTACATGTTCTTTCCTCCCTTGGTATATTGTACCAACGACCAGTTTCTATAGGTAAATGTAAATTAGATGTACGTAGTTTGGTTAGCCACGTTCGATTAAATTCACTAAGTCTCAATAAGTGATTTTCCAAACAAAACTGTTTTTTGAATATCGAATAAAAGAGGCCACGGGAGGAGTTTTGTATATAACTATACCATTTTTGTATAAACTGGTCACATAAAATTTGCTTCACAACAATTTTATCACAAAATACAAACTGGTTTTTAAAAATGTAACTCATTCCAACTTCATTAAAAATAGTTTCTACACATTTAATCCATTTGAAGGTATATTTAGTTTTAATTTGTAAGGATAACATCAGTTGATACAAAATACTACTTAGTTTAGAATCATTTTGTACAAGTCTTGTCCAGAATGATACCATTCTAAGTTTGACTTTAATTTCGAGGGGAAATCTTCCAAGTTCACCTAAAACCATAAAATTTGGTGTAGTGTTCCTTACTTTGAGTACTCTTTTACAAAACTTCAAATGGATTTGCTCAATAGTTTTAAGGTTTTCGTATCCCCAAATTTCGGATCCATACAATAAAATTGGTTCTATCATCGAGTCAAATAGCTTTAATTGGATATCAACAGGTAAAGACTCATTTCTGATAAGTTTATAAACACAAAACATTGCCTTTTCTGCTTGTTCTACAAGTTTTTTCTTAGTCTCAATAAATGTACCATTATATTTAAAAATAACTCCAAGGTAAGGATATGTATCTACAATATCAAGAATTTGACCTTGTAATGTAAAACTGAAATTGTGGTTTACTTTTCTTTTAGAAAAGATAATAACCTTGGTTTTATTTACATTTACTTGTAGTTTCCACAATGAACAATAAGACTGAAATATATCAAGAGCTTTTTGTAAACTATCTTTACTCTCTGCTAAGATGACTGTGTCATCCGCATATAATATAATAAAAATTTTATAAAAAATATGTAATTCACTTTCAAGTTTCTCTTTAATTATTTCTAAGGGCAGTCCATCTAGCTGACAAAAATAGTCTGCAAGATCATTTAAAAAGATCGAGAAGAGAAAAGGCGATAAATTCTCCCCCTGTCTAACACCTGTTAGACATGGAAAGAATTCTGACTGAGAGTCATTAAATTGAACACAAGACTTAATTCCACTATACATATTATACACAACTTTAAAACATTTCCCTTTAATTTCGCTTTTTTGTAATTTTTTCCACAGCCCTGTACGCCAAACAGTATCGAATGCCTTTCTAAAATCCACAAATGTACAAAAGAGTTTCTTCCCAAAAGAAAAGTACAGTTCAATAAGTGCGTTTAATACAAAAATATTATCTTGTGTAGAATAGCCCTTACGGAATCCAGTCTGGTTCTCAGATATAATATTCAGTTCATTTGCAAAAATATTCAGTCTAGTATTAATAATGGACGTGAAAAGTTTCCCAAGGCAACTGATGAGAGTAATTGCTCTATAATTATCAGGATCAATTTGGCATCCCTTGTTTTTGAAAACTGTTTTAATAATACCAGAAGTCCAGTTTTCAGGTATAATACCTGTATTCAAAATGAGATTAAACAATTTACAATAAATAGACACTAGACTAGGAGGCGAATATTTCAAATATTCGTTCAATATTTGGTCCAAGCCCGGTGCTTTATTATTTTTTAAATCTTTTATAGCTTCACTCACTTCCAGTTCAGTTATGACTCCGTTCAAGATCTCATCACAAATTGGATTATTACAAACATCATTTATATCAAAGTCCTCCTCATCATCATCACCGACATAGTCACCAGCGTTTAATTTTTTGAAATATTCATAAAATGTTTCTATGTCTATATCTGGATTTTCTTTTCGCCTACTAGAATATTTATGTAATGTTTTCCAGAATGCTTTAGTGTCCGATCTAGATAAAGACCTAAGCTCACTGGAACATTTCTCAGAGTAAGCTTTGAAACTTGTGTTCAGAACCTTTCGGTACTCCTTTGCTAATCTATTCATGGAGTCTTTTTTTTCAGTTGTCTTGATTTTTGAGTAATAATCCCTGGCTTTGTGAAAAGCATTACGCTTTATTTTACATTCAGTATTAAACCATGGTTTATTATCACTTTGTTTTTCTTGCTTTCTTTTTCTCGAACCAAAGACAGAAGATGCGGTATTCATCAATGAGCTACCAATATCATGCAGTATACCGTTAATCTGTTCAGGCGTGACATCCTCAATATTTACATGATCGAGTACACCGTTCACCTGTTGTAATACTTGACCTATGTCATCACTGAGCATCCGTTCAAATTCAGGTGCCTTTTGATGGTTCCATTTGACGTAAGTATTACCTTTGTTTTTATTTTGTTCTGTCTTTAGTGCCACTGGAGGTGCACTGTCAATCGAAAAATGTAATCGACAATGCACATCAGAGAACATGGGGTTAAATTCAATTACCTCAAAATCTGCAATATCATCAAATAAATGCGGGGATACAATTAAATAGTCAACGAGGCTTGCATCTTTGCAAGTAGTATTACCAATACATTTGTCTTTACAAAGACGACCATTTGCAATACAAATTGAACATCGTTTACACAGTTCCACAAGTTTTTTACCATATTTATTGACGCGTGTATTGTCCAAACTAAATCTTTCAGTAGGAATACCTTTTTCTGTCATAAGATTGTATAACATAAAATTTTGATCATTTGACACTTCAGTATCAATGTTTAGAATCTCAAATAAATGTTCATCTATTTCAACAATGTCACTTAGTCTTCAGGTTCTTGAATTAAAATCACCGACCAAAGCAACTTTTTCGGTATTTTTTGAAAATTTTAAGAGTTCTTCTTCCACTTCGGTGAAGGCATCATCTGATGAGTATTTAGAAAATTCAGGTGGAATATAAACACAAACAAGTAAGACAGAAGAGTTCGAATTGTTAAGTTGTGTATGCTCTTTAAAAATTTCAACCCATAGAACAAATTCTGACTCTGATTTAAAAAAAATCAAAAATTTTGACAATCTTTTCTTATATATAATTATTATACCACCAGATTTTTTGTTATATTTTTTTCTGTGTTTGGCTACAAAAGTA